AGGCTAGAGCCTTTGTTTGCCTCTCTTATTCTCCTCCCCTTCTTCACCTTAGAGCAGGCCTAGAGTTTTCAGGAGCGTCGTCGCAGTCCTGCTGTGTGGATCACCGCTAGAGAGGACGCTTGACCTCCTTCACCCTCTCCTAGAGATCTGCAAGGATTCAGGGATGTATGATCTCTCTTGGTAACATAATCTACTCTATACGCAGTTTTAAGTTTCGCGGATTTTTGCGCACCAATCTTCGCACGACGACGAATATCTCTTTAGGAATAGGGGATTTTGTTTTTTGTTCTTCCGCTGTGCATGTGATGTCACCCCCAAGATTTCCCAACACCTGCGACTCCTCGTCGTTGCTGCTAGATTCTGAACTACTTGAACTAAGGGCGATGGCTTTGTCTTTGTCTGATTTGGGGGGATGGATGGAAGCTGTTAAAGCGTTGAGTGCTTGTTTCTGTGGGCACTCCCTCACCATGTGCGGCCCAACGCACAAGAAGCATCCGCCAGGTTTCGGGGCCTTGCCTTTTGAGCTTGGCCCTTTGTGGGAACTCTTCTTCCTTTGTTCACCTCCGGGCTCCTTTCGTCGGGAATATTTTGGAGGGCGATTTCCTGAAGATGGTTTCCTTTTTCTTGGGTCCTTAGAGGAAACAAAGTCGGTGAGCCTTTTTGTGGCAGTAATTGCCTCGATCACATCGGTGACATTCCTTCAATGTAGTTCTTGTTGAGCCCATGACTTCAAACCATCAAGGAAGCTGAATAGCTTATCTTTCTCGGACATGTCCTGTATGTCCAGCATTAGCGCAGAAAATTGTTTCACGTAGTCTCGGATGTAAGTACTTTGGCGGAGTTGTCTCAACTTCCTCCTTGTAACGAACTCTGTGTTCTCGGGTAGAAATTGAGTTTTCAACTCTCGCTTTAAGTCCTCCTATGTGTTCACCCGACACCGACCTTGTTGGATCTCCTCCCAACGGGTTCGCCACCAAAGTTTTGCATCCCTATTCAAATACATTGTTGCTATGAAAACTTTGGTTTCTTCAGAATCAGGCTTCGTAGCTCGAAAGTATTGTTCCATGTCGAACAGGAAATTCTCGAGCTCTTTAGCATCTCTGGCACCTCCATAACAATGCGGCTCGGGTGCCCTCAAGTTTTGTGGCGGCGCAATGCGGGTGTTGCTTCCTCCCGCTTTCAGTGCCCTTGTGAGCATCGTCACCCTGGAAGTGAGTTCTGCCACTTCCTGCAGATGTTGCACGGAGTCTTTGGTGTCGTCCGACAATCGATCGACTAGGGCCTCGACCTTGTCGATTTGGGATTCAACTTTTTCTTGCGAGCTCTCTACCCCAAGAAGCCTTCGTTGGCCTTGGTAGAGTTCCTCCAAGCTCGCTTCAAGGATATCCAAGTGGGTTTCCGCCGCTTTGAGTCTCTCATGGCTCTTCTTCCCGGTTGGCGCTCCAGATTGCACCTCCTCCGCTCGCGGAGAGTAGCCAATTTCTCGCTCATCATGTTCGGTGCCACGATCCTCCAAAGTGGCTCCAACGACATGAGAGCGAGTTTACAATTGCAGCCCACCTGCGGCTGCTTAGGGCAAAGGTCCGGCTTGCCCCGCCTTGCTTGATTCTCCACGATGCTTTACCATGGCGAAATTGCGAAGTTCCTTCGCTGCTTGCTTGAATTGCTTGCCCGCTTTAATACCACAATGTCACGACCTTAGCTAGAATTGCCTAGGGCATGAGGCACCCTTATGGCAAAGACGCGAACTTAGCTTGAGTTGCTTAAGTCCCGACGCACCCTTACGCCAACTTCTCGGACTTAGTTGGGATTGCCTAAGTCTTGAGGTGCTCTTGCAACATATACGTCCGCAAAGGTTCAGCCTAGTTGCAACCTCGTATAGGTCCCGAAGGACCTGTTAAACAGAAAGTTGATTAGATTGAAAACGAGCGATAGACAAGTCCCGGCATCTCGCGAAGAGGGAAGCTTTACAAGCAATTCAGCAAGCACCTTGTGTGCACAGTAGAAAAGAGAGGAAGGAGGAAAACAAGGACTTTAGAAGGTAGAACGAATAATTGCAAGTCCACAAACAACTACTCATCGGGTGCCGGGCGCGAAGGCAAGTTTCCTTCAAGTCAACATGTGAACTTGTGAAGATTTTTCAACGCCCAACTATATACCAAAGCCCCATCCAGCCTTCTGCCCCCCGGAGGGTTCCAGGGTGCTGAGATGGCTGACATTTCGCGCATTGCAGCGGGCTGTAGAAAACAGCTCACGACACGTGAAAACGGAGCCATTTTGGGGCTTTTTGGCTCGGCGCAGTGAGCGGTCGCACTGTGCGCTGCAACCTATTCGAATATGTATTTTTACAAGTAAAAACACACAAAACCAAGGCAAAACAAGCTATCATGTCTTTGTTCAAGCATGCAAAAGCGACGAACAGTTCGTTGAACGAAGTTGCGAGTGCGCGACGACCGTTCGTGACAGCTCGCCGCTGTCGCTGCTCGTTGCTACCACTGTCGCTGCTCGTTGCTACTGCTACTGCTGCAGTTGCTCGTTGCTACCGCTGCCACTATTGTCGCTTGCCGCTCCCGCTCCTGTTGTCGTTGTCGCTGCTCGCCGCTATCGCTGCCATTGCCACTATCACCGCTCGTTGCTCCCGCTCCCGTTGCTCGCTGCTACCGTTGCCGCTGCCACTGTCGTTGCTCGCCGCTCCCGACCTCGTTGCCGCTTCTCGTTGCTACCGCTGTCGCTTCTCGCTGCTACCGCTCCCGCTGCCACTGTCGTGGCTCGCCTCTCCCACTCCCACTGCTTGCTACTACCTCTTCTCACATCGACTCAATAGTATACTATTAATAGTATATTAACTGTATACTAGTAACAATATTTTTTTATTTATTAGATTATTAATATATTATTTTAATTTTAATACTGCTAATTTTTATTTATTTAAAATTATTGTTATTGTTTTGAAATTTGAGATTTTTTTGTTAATGTGATATTGTGATTTTGTAAGATTTTTTTTAATTTAATATCATATTTTTATTTAAATAATTATATGTATTAACTATATTATATATTTTTATATTTTAGTGTCTTGTTTCGCTCAAGTGAGCGCCTCGAGCGTTTTTTGACCTTGGCGCCTAGTGCTTTTTAAATCACTACTACTCATTATTCCATAGTCACTTCTTTGTGTTTGTATATCGGATATGCAAGTCCTTTTGGCTTGAGCCACCATTATCAGTAAATGCTCTATTATCGACCTCACTGTTGTCGTTGTGGATCTAGTGAATCAAAATTAGATGGAGAAAAAGTCTCATCCTGTTGAATTTTTTCTCTCTGATGATTTCCATTGAGTAAGCTGAGTGCCCTGAGTTATTACGATACCTATCCAGTTTATCAGGAATTGAATCATCTTGAGAAGCATCAATGTCAAATGGATCTGATAAAGTCTCCTCCCTTTCTCGATCCAACAACCTAGGGAGGGCAGCTTTTTTGTGTCTCAAGAACATAAATAACTTATGCTAACAACTATTGGATGATGTAGCTTGTAATAATAAAACTTGCATTGGAATTTTCCTCAAGTAAGGTGTTAATTCTCCAAGTTGACGCCACATTTAGTTCTGAAGGTATTATAATCAGACAACCATGGATGGAATAAATTTGACTGATTGTTACCTACAAAATAATTATTAAAATCATGTGACTGTGCAATCTTATGTACTTGATAGCACTTTGTTTCGAGCACCTTGAGATAAAAGTTATTTTTCGAACATGGTATTTGAATGAGCAAATTGAAGAAAAATGATTGAGCTAGACCCGAGCAAGTTAGGATATCCAAGTGAGCCAGATGGGCTATTGCGACTCAAAACTAGGTTTGACCAAACGAAGATGAGTCACATTACAATGAAAGATGGGATATGGATGACTGAACCGACTCAATGAAGATGATCATACCATACAAGGTAGACACGAATGAGTGACCTATCTCAGTATCTGTATATGGGAATGAATTTGAGCCCTATCTCAGTATCTGTATATGGGACTGAATTTGAGCCCTCAAAAGTAAGGGTCACGAGAAGGGAAGATGTGAAAAAATATTCATGTACAAGAGATGAAAATAGAGGTGAGTTAAAGAGTGGATTCACATTACTAAAAGTTGAAAGTCATGTGATGTGTTGACTTTGGTCAACACCTTAACGATCATAAGTTTTTAAATTGTATTGGTTTCAATCCCATTTATGGTAGCCCTGACCTAATTCCACTAGGACTTCAATTCGATTATGACTCTTAAACTAGCTCATTCAGTTATGACTCTTCAAGTTAACTTCTCATCTTAAACTAAAGTTTAATATGATACGCTTACATCCTCTCCTAAATCAATGTTTACTTCTAATTGATGATTAACCCTCAAAGCAATAACTGATAACAACAGCTGATTTCTTTCAGATGGAGTCTATCACAGGGTTGCTCATGTGACTCCAAATTGTTTAGTAGCTTACTGATAAATGTCTTACCAAAACCTAATAGAGATGCTTTTCGCTTGAAGCAGAATTTTCTCCTAAGAAAAATCAGTATGCTATCTTAGGCCACAAGCCGAAGAGAGGAGCGCATGGAAACAACTTCTGAAGCCTGTTTTTGAATTAATCGTGGCTGTGATAGATGCTTTACTTTTTTTAGCCATCGAAACCAGCTGCATGAAGAGCAATTTATTTTAATGTGAAGAGGAATATATAAAATATTTGGTAGAAATATGTGAAAAAAATATGATCTTAATATTATTCCTGTTCTTTTACCAAATGTGATTCCCTTCAGATCTCTCATCAACAACAAAATGTTCTCTCTCCAGCATAGAAATTATCGGTAGTCACTGTGTTTCTGTTTGGGTTTCTAACTTTTCAGAAAATTGTCTGAATGTACTTTATGGCTGCAGCAGCAAACGCTTTTAATAATCGAGAAGCATAGGTTGCATCGTTAGCGTGTGCCCAAGTTGTTAAGATACAATATCTCATCCTTTTCAGGAGTTTTCGTTGCTTCCTAAGCTTGCAAAATCCCAGCCGGTTGTTGATAGAGCTAAACTTCAAAGTGCATCATCAGTGGAGGAAGCTTTGGAAATTGCAAGTAGTTCTCTATGAACTGGTGCTGCAATCTAGCTTGGATGGCTCTTATCATTTTCGCTTCAATAATTCATGCTTCAATAGCAGTGGATTATGAGTAATATAATATTCTAATCTTTGTTGATCCTTTTAATGCTATTGCCACTTAGACTAGTGCCGGTTTTCTGGTCAACAATCCAATTCAGGATATGAGATGGATGGGTTTTATCCCATTATTTCGAGTTTGTAGAGTAAATTTGTAGAATAAAATTTTCAGAAACACATTCCTGTTGTTATGGAACAGGAGATGAAGGATAAGATTATCCTAACTGATGCATCTTCTCATGGTAGACAATGTTGGCTGCCAGCAACGATCAAAGAAAGGAAAAGATGAATGTTTTGTATTTTATCTTGATGATGATTATTATTATGTGAATGAATTGCAGAGACCATGTGAAAGCCCCAGTAAACCCAAATTTTTTGTAGATATGTTAAATCTGGTTGCAAATTTTTACTTCATTTTTGTTGGCAAATTCAAAGCCAAGTTTTTAGAAATGAACGGACTGGCAACAGTTGCCGAATTTTAACATTATGGCAGTTACATGGAAGGAACCGTCAATATGCCTGCTTGTGCTTATGTATTAGAGAGCCGATCCAAACCTTTGTATGGTCAGATGAAGTTTGTTTGGAGCTTGCTTGACTGGGATATATAAAATCTTTTGGAACTAAAATCAGATGCAGTCGGTTCATTTGGAGGTTGATTGCCTGTATAAGTCTCATGGTGAACAGAGACTTCAATTCTTCTGACGTTTATATGGTTGAAAAATCAAGAAGATTTTGAATATATGAATTTTAAATAAAATAGTTTGTGTGTGTGTGTTGGTGTTTTTAATTTATTGAAGTATAATCTTGCCTCCAAAACTTGTTAAGGGCAAACGAATTAACTTCAAATCATACTCTATTGGAATGGTGTCACGTTGATTTTAGATACAGTGTGATACTTACTATTCAAAAATAAAATAAAATGCAATTGTGTCCCCTTTCCGATGAGCACTAAAAAAATTGCATACGAAACTGACATGTAACTTCCTTCATATTGAGGGTTTTTTGAATAATCTTAGTTTTTATTAATATTTTAAGCCATTATGTTATGTTTTTAGCAAAGTATGCTAAAAAACATGTTCCCCAGAAAATAAGGTGGTAAATCAAAGGTTTTATGTTTCAGCTGGAATCTAACTCTAAACGTTGTCCGTGTAATAATAATATTAGACGACTATGCTTCTAGTTTTGTTGGTGTTGATTGCTCTGCAATTTTTCTTTTCCTGGTGGGCACACCCGAACCACTCACTCTTGGTGCTTCGGTGATCGTCACTCCAAGGAGGGGGCCACCTTCTCTTACTGATGCTACCGTGGAGGTTTCATAAGCTGAGGGTATTCGGTGTCAGACTCGGGATAAGAGGACGAATGGTATCTCACTGGTTATACTCGAAGAGTATCATCGTAATATATTATATTTAGTTTTTCTTGGCTTGTGGCTAGCAAAATATTTTGGGCCTTCTGACTTGAGATTTTGCTTCTCTTGATGAATCAGTCGCAAAACTGTGGGTAGCCTTCTTCAGAACTGAGATTAATTGTGCACTAAAACCATGATGCAAACAAAATGCATGTGTCAGTTGAAGTTTCAAGTTGCTTCCTTCAGATGAAAAGTCTATAAAGAGATTTCACCTACTGCACAACATGAGCACCAAGCAATTGTGTCCTAATCATGGTATGCTTTTGGTAGTTCCAGGTAACTAACTATACACCAGTCATGGAATCAATCACAAACAGAGTTCAACCTGCAACAAATTGTAATATCCCAACTATTTGGGTTGGCATCAACACATAGAACTAAATTTCCGCAATACATAGACAAACAACACTGTTCATGTTAGAGGAAAGTAAATAAAAAACAAACTTCGCATTCACTTGCACAGGAATCATCGGTCAGTAAATAATTGTACCTTCTTTTATTTTTCTGAAGCACATAAAAAAATAGACTTTTATGATAAGCCATGACATGAGGGAGCAGTTACTTGACATATCCACCACATTTGAACTCAGAAAGATGACTACGGTCTACAAGTCAGGTATTCGGCAAAATAATAATGGACACAAGGATTTGCAATTTGAAACCAGAAACGGGGCATCAACAGACTCACATCTGCAGTTGGACAAAAAAAAAAATCAACAATCACAGCAGTTTTCTTGTTTCATTTTCTAAGATTTTTCCATGAAATCCTGTCCTGCGTAACAGCACAAGACGACTTCAAACTGTGTTCGCTCGGTCACAATTGCTGGAGCCACAATTTCAATCAACGATAACAGTGAGCGCACAAGCTTGCGTCTTTTTTCAGCAACCATTTATTGCTTTAGAACTCCCATGCTGGAACATATGTTCCTATGGTCAGGGCATCAAACTTCTCAGCAGCTTATGCTTCATCAGTCCCTCTAGGTGGCAAGCTTAATTAGACCATCAAAGATCCAATTCAATCAAATGAATTCTTGAATAGTAGAGCAGGGCATTTGTGACTTCGTGTGCTGCATTTACACTAAAACATGATTTTGTTTCATCCTGGAATGATGTGAAATTACTTCTTCCCTTTCTCCCGCTCATATTCAAATTATTGGAAAAATGACACACAGTTTTCATATATTGCCAAAATTAGAGTGCAACTTTACACTAAAAGATTTTTCTGGCTAGCCAATACACAAACATGAGAAAGAAATTGATATGCTTCTTTATCACGCTAAACAGAGATGTCCCTCTAAATCTAGTGTGACAAATATTTAAAGATTTTCCATGTTATAGATGCCAATCTTTTAATTTCCTTAATGTTGTTATCATGCATATTCAAAGATAGTTCGGCCAGATGGGCTAAGAACCCAGAAATGAAGAAAGACTTTTTACTCCCTATCCTTAGAATAACAACATTTTACCTCTAGTTTTGGTCATTAAAGCAAGAACCAAAATGAGAAAAATCAAGCTTTATGCCAGTATGATACCACTGCTAATTACTTCATACCAAATGCTAAGAATCCATCTTGATGTTATGTGAGCTACAATCATTATTGCTTTTACAAAAAACTTATTAAAATAACAAAGTAAAATGAAAAACAGTATGTCTTCCAAGTCAATAATAAAATTATCAAATTAATACATCTAAAATTTCAGCATCAAACCATATCCAAGATAATAAATAATATTGTTTGACGAAGATGATATGAGAAGTGACAAAGTAGATCAAATATAGAATAATACTGCCAATGTCATTCCCAAGTCTGGATGAAACAAATGGAACGTGATGTTAGGCTATTTAAGCATAACGTTGAGTCACAATTCATGAGCCAACTATTTTTGTTATTAGACTAAATCGTTGCCTAGAAGTGGCATGAAGCATCTTCACCATGCAGTTGCCTCAAATTGTGAAAGGTGTCCTAGGAGGCTTGGAACAGTTTAGGAGATCAATATGAACTTTGGTTGACTAGTTTAAAAATCATAGAGTTGCTTATAAAATTAAAGAAACTGTGATAGAAGAAGTTTTAAAAAGTATGAATAAAAGTAAAAGTGTTGGATTTGATGGTATTTTTACTGAGGCTTGGAACAGTTGAGGTTATCAATAAGACGTTTGGCTGGCTAGTTTGTCTAACAAAATTTGAAAATTAAAAGGATACTTATGAATAAGGAGCTTCTTGATACCAATTTAAAAAAATAAGAGAGACATCCAAAGCCGCCTAGTTATAAGTGAATTAAAATAATGATAGGGAAAGCATAAAAAAGGGCTAACCCAGTTCACGAGGCTCCCGCCAATACGGGGTATGGGGAGGGCCAATATACGAAGCCTTCTCTTTAATTAAATATTTAAAGAAACTATTTTCGTAACTCGAATCCTGATCTTGTAGGTCGCAAAAGAACAACCTTACCATTGTACCAACCTTCCCTCAATAATAGGGAAAGCATACAATTAATATTTATTTTGGTAGATTTTAGAAAAGAAAAGTGATCTACTAATTAATTGCTTTATAAAAGATATGTATCATGATATAATTACTAGTGTTAAAATTGTAAAGAGTGCATAACTATAAATTTACATTAAAGGTCAATTTTGAGTTTTCTATTCTTTCACAATGATAACAGATGAACTTACCAATCATATATAAGTCAAACCGTACAATGGATGTTATTTGTTGATGCTATTGTTATGATTTACGATAGTTAAATTAAATTATGGAGGTAATCCTTAAGAACTAAAAGTTTTACATTAAGTATGATTACAACTGGGTATACGATGAGATAGAGTTTTAATCTTATTAATAAGAGGATGTAGTGGATGAATAAACAATAAGATCCTTTAAGTAAAAGTTTCTATGTATGTTGATATGCTAATCATAGAAAAATTCGAAAAATTAGTCATATACTAAAATTTAAGTTTTTTAAGTGAAAATAGGTGTCAAATATTTATATGATCATTTGATACTCTATGTATTAACTAGAAAATGAATTATTTTCATTCACAAACAATTAGGTATGACCCTAATAGATGATATAAAAGAAAGAATCCTCTAAGATGATATGGAGATGTTCAAAAGAAATCCACAGATGTCGTGGTTATACAAGATAAGTCTATCTGCACTAACGATGTTGAGGTGGATCAGTAGAATTACTAGAAAGGTAGAAAATCAATTAGTATTAGTGGAGGAAGAAGAGATATAGCAAGATCGGAAAAAAAAAAACTTTAAAAGGAATAGTAAAAGTGATATAGCAAGATCCAAGAAAAATCATCTAACCTATAGATGTTATATTTAGAGGAAAATCAATTAGTATTAGTGGTGGAAAAAGAGATATAGCAAGATCGGAAAAAAAAAAAACCTTTAAAAGGAATAGTAAAAGTGATTCAAATGCTCTTGATTTAATTAGAGATATTGTCTTGTATATAGTTCCATGGCATAAAAAGATCCAATATAAACAAACCCAAATAGTCAGGATATCATATACTCACATCTTACAGACATAAAAATATCTTTTCTAACATCAACATAGCAATAAATCCAAATTTCATACAACTAGAAAACAAGACTAGATTTGAAGTTACAGCAAAAATGACCATAAGTTAAATGTGATAAGCAAGGACAAAAACCAAATTTAAATCCTAAATAACATGTCCAGAAATTTGCCTTTTCAGCAAGAGGAGATCAAGGATATCAGTACAGCAGCAATTATATGTGGTGGTGGTGTGTGCTCTGCCCTTGCCACTAGACATGCTAAGACAAAATTGGACAAAAGAAATTGAAACTCAATCTGAATGGCAGGATTAAAGGAAGAGTGTACCAATGAGCTATCAGAAACCCTTCCTGTGACTTCAAATCTGATAGCAAGTGTGCATAATCTTGCTTTCGGCCATTCTACTGTCACCATTCCGCTTCCAACCAGCAACCCTATTCTAATATAACGAAGTGGGCTGGCAGACCATTTTGAAGAAGAAAAACTGGTTTTGGCCTTAAAATAGAAGCAAATAACCAGGAAAGCTCAGTTCAGTTGAACTCGATGTTAGCAATTCATTTCATTGTTCGAACAGGAAGTTTTGGCTGAAACATAAATGCTTGGAAGAAATGTCTTAAACCTGGTGATGCACAGATAAAAGAAAAAAAAAAGGTTCAGTTATGAGTTATGCTAGAGTGCAGTTTGAAAATCAATATAGGTAATATTTAGCACAAAGCAGCAGGTGGAAAACCAAAAGTACTACATGGCTAATCAAGACAGTCATGGTGACTAGTGAAAGACCCTCGTACCACCAAAAATTTATCAATGTCCTTGCTTACGAAGATCAAGCTGTACATTTTTTTTTTAATTTTGAGAAATATTTCTTAGTCAAAAGACTGATGACTGTATTTGCTGTGCCATGACAACCTGGAACTTTGATCTGTAAGACTTCTATGATAAGACTATCTGGCCTTCAAGATGCTGTGCTAGAGAAATATAACGTGGGCCATACATATTCAAACTATGTTAGAGTGCAAAGATATGGCATAATTTGGAAGTTGAAAAGGGTATTCCAAGTCAGGATTTGGAGTTCTAACCATAAAGTTTACCGAGAGAACTATTCTTGTTAAAGTCATGGTCCAAACAACTTGAACAAGATTCTAAAAATAAACCAACATTAAGAAGCATACGTCAATGTCGGCAGCTGTCACATAACCTTGAGTAGGATTAGACATATTGACATAGTTTGCAAGAATGGTTTTTCTATTGGCATCAACTTGGGATAAGCAATTGGGATGGATAGGGTTGGTTAGATTGGATGCTAGTGAATGAGATCAACTTTAAAGAAAATAAAAATAAAAAGATAAAAACGAGTATTATACGAGAAAAATAATTGAACACTTCAAAGAAATATACTAAAAGATCTTTGATCTCCGCATTCCATAGAATATATAACTTTATTAGTAAGATTTGCATTTGAAAGGTAAAACATAGAAACAATATAAGAGATAGGATTATTACTTGACAACGCCTCTAGGTTTGGTCTTTTACCATTCAGCATCCCTTTTTACGATTTTCACCTCAAAGTGCTCATCTTTTCCCAATTGCCCAAATAACCCTCAAAAGTGATTCCCACTTTTTCCTTTTTTTTCCTGTTTGCCTCTTAGACCGGTGGATATTAGACCAGTTCATTTTTTTTCTTTTGTTTCTTGGAGCAGTTGTTCTTGAAAGTTCAAAAAAACAAAATATAACAAAAAATTTATAGTAATTACTGCTATTAAAAATAAAACTAAACTTATAAAGCTAAAAGATAATTACGAGAACATGATGTAAAAATTATAAATAAAAAATAAACATATATTTTCTATATCTAAAGTAATAAATGAGAACATACCAACAAAAATAATTAAAAACTATTTACAATTTAAAATTTATTAATAATAAATTTAAAATAGAAAAAATGTTTTTTAAAAAGTGATGAAATAATAATGAAAGCTTTTTGGATAAAAATAACCATATTTATCAAACAAATAAATATTTTGATTCTCATTTAGCATATATTATTAAAAATAAAAGCCAAAAAGTTAGTAAAATAGTTTCTTAAATTTATTGAACAAATTAATCATGTCTTGGTATGAGTTGTATAATATTGCTTATATAAGCATTTAGTGCTCACTATAAAAGGAGACACAATAATTACATTAATCTTAACAGTGTTAAATCAAATGTAACACTGTTGCAGAAACTGTAACTAGTTTGTCTCCTTCACTAATTTACATCAAATGCTTATTTTGTCAACACATAATTTTCATAAAATTTTAAAATTATACACACATTTAAAATTTTAATACAAATTTTAATTGTGATATATCTAAAAAAGAGTTAAATTCTATAAAATTATTTTGTTCTTATTTGTCTATCAAAATTTCATATACAATGTATTTGTAAACAATTTAGGAAAATGAATTATGATAATTAACTCACTTTTATAGCAATTACATTATTATATAATGTTAACCTTTGCTACTAATTTATACTAAATACTTGCTTTTTCGCAACATAAATAACTTATATGAAGTTCTACAAATAATTTAAAAAAAAATTCAGACTATAAGCACATTTTTATTTTTTATCACATGTTTTCATTATAAAATATGCTAGTAGAGAGTTGAACCCTTCAAAAATAATCTTTTAACTCTTAATTATTACTTGTTACAATATTGTTTATCTCAATGTTTAATGTATCGCCTGAAATTATATGAAACGGGTGGTACATACCAGTCCGGTCCACCAACTGATCAGCACTTGATCTAACTTATTTTGGGCAGTACATAGGAAAAGGGCTAGGTATTGGCTGATACAGTCGAAACTCATATGTTATGGGTTGCTACCGGTTGGTTCCGGTCGGAATTTTACCAATACCGACCCAAATTGGGGAAAGTTTGACCCAACAGTCAAATTAACCATTGGAGCCTCTTTTGGTCGTTTAAACCTCCTCTTTCACTCACTCATTCACTTTCTCATTCTCACACTCACTTGTGATTAAAGTTCCTTATGGAAGATTAGGGGTAATTAAGCTATTGATTTGTATAAAAGAGGGATTAAAACTCAGGATCTAATGAAATTGCTCCCCAATTTGAAGGTATTTAGTTTCTTTCCGTGTTATTTATCATTTCATATAATTAGAGGCGTATTAATGCATATTTACAAAGATTAAACATGATTAAGGTTGTTCTCTTACATTAGCCTTATATTTAGGTCCAAATTGGGGGATTTAAGGTTAATCACAATCTTATGCATTTATTTATACCTCATATACACTTCATTCTTAATTAAATGCAATAACAAGTATACAATAAAATTGGGAGGAAAAACTTAAAAAAATCTTTTTATGAATTTTCGATCATTTTTAAGTCTTTTATCCAAAACCAATATGTATGGACGTACTGACATACAATATACTGGTACGACTTGTCACGGACAAAGTTCTAAATAGGATGTTTGATGTAATACTTATGTATGTCCGTGTCTTTTTGTTTGTTCATGCTTTGCACAGCATGTAGAGGAACGGTCAAAGGCTTAATAGCCCCATTTAGTTGGGTTTGGTGGCCTTCTTAGGCTTGTAAATAAAGGTCGTGCCATGTAGACACTTATGAGAGATATTCGGTCTGTAGTGAACCATTTTGACCCTTTGTTGTACAACTGTTCAGAGTTTGTAAAGTCTGTTTGTAATTTGCATTGTCTATGAAGTGTTTCCTGAAATGTTTGCTTGTGGATCCCGAGTGAGGTGCTTTCTCTAACTCGTTTTCTCTTTTGTAGGTCCTACGGGACTATGGGAGGTTTCGGGGAGGCTGACCTTTGCGGACGGGCATGCAAGGGTGCTGCACGACTTAGGCAAAACCAGCTAAGTCCGTGACAGATGGTATCAGAGCGAGAGAAGCACTCATATAAACACTTGGCATACAAATGTAGAGGACCTAGCGGGGCTGCGTTGAGGGCAGTCAGCACACGCGTGACTGTTTTGGGGAAAACAGGCATGGAGATGTAGGGAAAAGAAGTCACTCGGAGGAGCGGGCATATGAGATTGGTATTCAGAGGAATGGCCAACCCTTCGCGCAAGAGGCACCACGAGAACAAGCAAGTTTGGAAGAATGCGGAGCGCACAAAGGTTGGGATGGCTGAGTTCGAGCTACGGCTCGACGTTGACAACTATACTTGATAGTGCTCAACGTAAGCGAGGCGTTGGGTAAAGGATGAGACCATGCAAGGTGGAATGAGTTGCTCAGCGACCGAAAGAGTTGTGCAAACCTCACAGAGGTGAGGGAAATTGCTAACTCGAAGAATTCGGTACTCATGCATGGGCTTGTATGCGGACGATGGAATGTTCGCGGCCATCTCAAGGCGACAAAATCTCAACGCCATGGAGCATTGAAACTTTCTCTTCGATATGTGAAGGATACGTCCGTAGGAGGCTGAAGTGTGCAACGAGTTCAGCATGTTGCTAGGCCTTGAGTGGTGCAGCAGGGGCTATATTGACGTGAAGTCGCAATCTAGCAAAGTGCGTTTACAGGAAGCAGAACAATGCACAGTTTGTTCAGCAAATCGGAGTAGTCCGAAGGGGATGGTGGTCTCCGAAACTTTCAGAGAAAAAGAAGCGAAGAGAGATATTGCTCCAACGGGATAGTTATCCAGGAGGGATAGATCCCGGTTTCTCCAGAGGGAGAATCATGTGCAATAGACCGCATATGTTGAGGAGGAGTACCTCAACAAACAACAACTCCATGAAGCTCAATGGACCGAGCAAGCGACGAGGAGTCGTCGCATGATCTCGCTCGAGAGAATGTATTGGTAAATGCATTGCGAGATCAAGTGGGGGAGCGACCCAAAGCAACACAAATGAAGACACACTTGGAGTCGATATGGAAATCAGACTCAAGGGAGGGCTGACCCGTGGAATGAGGAGCGAGGGCCACCATCAACTTAATGCAAAAACCAGGAGTGGAGCAACTTGGGTGTAACTTGGCGAAGTACCCAAGCCGCATGAAGGGAGCCAGCATAGAAGATGGAACATGGAGTGGAGGCATAGTGCTTTCCTTGGACAAAGGTCAAGGACATGAACTCTTGCAGAGGCAAGAGCAGGATCATGTTGTTCCATGGGTCCTTCATTCTGACGGAGCGGACTCATCTTGCATGGTGCCAAAGACTACTCAACTTATCTCGGAGCTAAAGGGCACATGCACCTTTTCTCGGAGAAGCATTTGATAGAGGAACTAAGGCGACTCAACTTGCGGAGGCGAAGTTGGGTTCAGAAGGCGTTGGCACGGGACAAGAGGACGCGGAGGCGGGTACTCTTAAAGAATATGTCACAGTGTTGCCATTCAAGTTGCCATGAAGGAAGTGGTGCGCAGCGGAGATTGTGCTGGTAGGGGCAGAGGCCTAGGATCCAGACAATGGTGCACTAATTGCAGCGAAGTCGATGGACTTCGGGAGCTATTAGGCAACGGACTATCCTAGAGCGGTGATTCATCTAGGTGTGACCCAAGAGTGGGTGGATGAAGGTTGATTGCCAAAGGAGCGAACAAAATCAAAGGTGGAAGAGACCCTACGATGTATTGGCAAAGGCCACATATAGAGGGATCA